CTAATTGCCTGGAATGTATCAAAAGACTGACACGTCCATCCACCTATGAGAAAGTCTTCTTTTCCTCTGGATACCTTTCACTGAGGAGAGGAGGCCTAAAACATTTTCTTTCAAGCTCTGAATATCAGCTTTTAATTTGGCTTAGTTTTCTATCACGGAGTCACTAAATTTTTAAATGTATCTTATCAGGATGTAGCTGGGACAAACAGGAGAGATTTCTGGCACTACAACCTTATGGACCAAGGTATTACTTTCAGCCACCCCCAAGATCACCAAGGAAGAACCAACAACCTGCCTACCTCAGGCCCAGAAAGCCACAAACCATGCTCTTAGGATGTCAAAGGCTAAGAACAGGAAGGAAATAGTTATTTCAGGAAAGAACTAGTAGTCGATGTGTTTGGATTTGGAAAGGAAGGACTTAATGTGAACTTTTATTTCCTCGACTTACTGGACTCAGGAGGTAATCTATTTAAATTGATTCTGGAGAACCCTACCTAGGTTAAAGAACTATTTTGCTACGGCCCTTTTTTCAGTCTTTGATCAAGGAGTAGAAGATCTCTGAGGAGAATTATCTGTGACCTCAGGAGGTTTTGTTGAAAAAGGAGCTGTCTCTTTAGAGTGGAGGGGTGGTTGAGATGGAAAATTAGACTGTGAGTCCTCAGGTGAAGAAGGGTAGAGGGGCAACAGGAGCTGCATCAGCCTTCTTCTTTTCTCTTAGGCACCTGTTGCATTTTAGATTTTTTTTTTTTGTCAGACTATTGGGGTGAATCTTCTGATGAGACTATTTTTGAATCTTGATGCTTCTTGGAATTTTCTGCATGCCAGTTAAAACAGGCATCCATTTCTGTTTATTGATATTGGGAACACTTACTTTCACGTGCACTTCCTAAATGAACAATGGTCTAAGTGAAATGTTCCCTGTAGGGGCCACTGTAATTCAATTTGTTTTTAATAATTAAAAAAAAAAATCTTGCTCCATGACTACAACTTCTAGGACTCTAGTCCTTAGATGTGAACTGAGCAGGTGCACCCAAAGGTGGTATACTTGACTCTTTGGAATGTAAGGATCGCCCCCCACCCCCAAACTAAGCCTCTAGGTTTTCTGGAGCTGTGGTAATACCTACAAGGGACAGGCTGTGGGGTTGGGGTGTGCATAGGTTATAGTATACCTTGTTGCCCAAAAGTTTTCTTGAGGTTGGCAGGTGACCTAGTGTTACCCCATTTGGTGACCAACTTATCCTGTCTCGGGAGCCTTCTGGAGGTAGTGAGGGCTTTAACAGCCTTTCAGTGCTTGACGTGCACCCACCAACTTTGGGAATGTTTGACCTCTGAGATCTCACTAGTAACAGCCTTTATTTACACAAAACAAGACAACAAACATGTACGTTAATATACTAGCAGTACTGCATCTGGCCATAAGAAGGTCCTGTGTGCATCACCAATTCCCTGGCAACCTCGCTGAGGTTTTCCCCCCAGGAGTTGTGGTCTCAAAGGCTGGAGATTTGGCTTTGGGCATACTCTTCTGTCAACTCAGCATGTTCCAGGCAAAACTGCAGGTGGCTCTGGGCATAAGCTCCAGCTGACCCTCCGTGTCAAAGAAAGCCAATCAGATTGGAAGCACCAACACAGCTGAGCTCGGAGCCAGAAGCTTACCCACAATCTTTGGAAACATGGGAAAAGCAGTGAGGTCCAAGGCAGCCTGGGTCCCTGAATGCTGCTGGAAGCTCACTTTGGATCCCACTGCTACCACCAAACCGGCTAAATAACAAATTTCAACGGTGTACTTTTGAAAATCTCATTGGCTTTATTATTTGAAGCATGAATCGGCAGCCCCCATTTAGCAGGTAGGGAGGCACTTGGAAGAGTTGTACAAAATGGAATGTTTTATAAACAGAAGGTGAGACCAGGGAGTTATTAGCAAAAGAAAAGTGTTTCAACTGCCAGCCTGGTTTCTAGGTGGAGGAGCAAGGAGTCTTACCATGCACATGACCTCATCTGCCTTTTGGGTGGAGAGGACCCAGGTGACAGACTCATTGGCTCTGATGGAAAGAAAAATGCACTGACACTGACTCATGAAGGCCATATTTCTGGAGGAATGGGGTTAAATTATTTAGATTGGGTGTGAAGCCCAGTGTGGGAACTCACTTCATGACATCATTTTGGACTTACAATTTTCTAATAGGAGGAACCTCATGGGGAGGTATCTTCATTCACTTACCCCTCCACCAGCAGAGCAGCTCTTGGTACCTGCTGGCTAGCCTGCTTGGGACAGAGAGTGGGGCACTAGCTCTGCTCTGGTTCGGTCTCATCATCAGCCGGGCATTTTATTTTCAGTTTTGGGGTCTGGGACTTCTAAGGGTTCCCCACCTTTCCCTCAGTAGAATCTCTTAATCCAGGAGAGAGTGTGTTACACTCCCTTACCCACTGGCCCTTCCCCCCAACTGTAGTGTGGCTTCACCTGTGCCCTGAGGCAGTGGGGCTCCCTGCCTTTCCCACGCGCAGTTAAGTCTTCTTTCTGTGTGGAGATTGTGGCCTTCCTGCCCTTCTCAGGCAGTAGCTGCTCTCTGGCCTCAGGCTTGCACTAGGTATAATCAGCTTTCTAGTCTGTATCCTGGATTCCAGCCTATCAGGAGCCCCTGGTGAGTTCAAGGGGTGTGTGGGAAGCCTGGAGATACAGGAGCTTCCCAGGTCTGTGAATCTCAGGTTCCCAGTACTCATGCTAGCCTTTAATTATTTGTTAGAAATTTTAGCTGAATTATTCTCTCTGACTTAATGAACATCTGGGATCTGTTCCAAGAAAGCAAGGTTTGCAATCTCAATTTCTTTGGAGGAATCTGTCTTTCCCTATAATTTGGGTTAACAAATTGTCCTGATCCTTCAGCTCAGATGGATTCAAGAGAAGTCATTTTGTTCTTCAGCTTTTCAACATCTTGAGCATGAGAGTGATCTCTTTCTGGATTTCAGGTGGAACTTTCCAAGAGATATCATTCTAACAACCCGAGATGACTTCTGTTTACTTGTAAGCCAAGAAATAACAAGACAAATAGCCCAGGTACATTTGCTCCAATGATATGAAGCACACACAAATACTGAAGTGGCATAAAACATGTAAGAGCATCATGAAAGAGGAAGGGCACCATGTCCAGCAGAGGCCGGCTCATGATAAGACAAGCACGGAACATTCAAGCAGGAACAGTAAGAAGAGAATCTGGATACATGATTCTAGAATACTGACCTCACTTCCTTTAAGTTTTCATGGTTTCATATGGCAAGTATAGGAGATACATGGCAGGACTCTCTGTGTAAACTTCATGATTATTAGCATATGGTTTTATTCTAGAGAAAATTGAGTAGGATATTCATTTCATCAAGTAAGATAGCTAAAACTTTTGGATGCTTTAATAACTTTATGCTGAAAATCTCCGTAATCATTAAGAATAATCAGATACCTGAACTGAATTATTCAATCGTTCAGAAATAATCATTGAGCATGAACCTCATGCTAGGCCCTCTGTTAGATGTGGGAATCCAGTTCACAAGGGAGTGGAAACACGTGAGGTCAAATAGCGAGTCAAGAAACAAACTGAGCATTTTAGAGCAGAGGGGGATGGGGAGATGGGTGAGCCCGGTGGTGGGTATTAAGGAGGTCACGTATTGTATGGAACACTGGGTGTTGTATGTAAACAATGAATCTTGGAACATTGCATCAAAGACTGATGATGTATTTTATGGTGACTAACATAACACAACAAAAAAAATGGAAGAAGAGAAAAAAAAAAGATAATCAGTGGGCAAACATCACCAAGGATCACCAATCTAGAAAATATTATTTTCAGCAGAGCTGTGTTTGTCTAGAGTTGGCACATTATAATAAAACTTAGCACACCAAAATGTGTAGTTCTTGGTTTATGGTTTTTCTTCCCAAGTAGACTAAAAGCTCCTTGCATAAAGTGATTGCACTGTGAACACTGTATCTTCATGACTGTAGCACAGTGCTTGGATCCAGGCTGCTGCTAAGTGACCGGGGAGTAAACATATATTAATGCAGGTCTGACTGAGGGGGGTATTCTTCAGCTATTTCAATGTCCTGTGGTCTCTGTGATGGCTACTGGTTCCTCCCTATGAACCATGGCAGACTGCTGGTTGCTGATACTGTTTCACAAGCAATCATGGGGTAATCTGGACAATAAAATAGAGCAACTTTTAAAAAGGAACCCTTGGGACCAAAATGGTGCGTCAGGCCCAGTCAAGTCCCCAAAACTTGTTTCATCCCTAACCTCACTACATTTCTCACCTCCCTCAGAAATGTTCACTGGTCAGTGAGGAATTCTCTAGTCAGCAGCAGGGAGGTGCTCTGTCACATGGGCCCTCTCCACCCCCAAGGAGGGGAGTTCATCTGCATGATAATACCCTCTCCTCTCCTAACCAAGAGAAGATGACCTTCCCTGAAACACTCCTTTCTATTTTGCCAACTTCCTTCCTATTAAAAACTTCCCATTTGCAGGACTCTTCAGAGCTCCCCTCTACCTACCAGGTGGCATGCTACCCGCTTCTTGAGTCACTTAATAAAACCAACTAGATCTTCAAATTTACCTGATTGATTTGTTTTTTTAACAAAAGCAGTGAGAAGTCAGAATGTAAATGAGCTGGGGTGGGGGTGAGATAGGGAAAGAAACACACAGAGGGCATCAGAAAGGCAGGAGGGCAGAGTGACAGCAGGGTTCAGGGCTGGGTGCTGGGAGCCATGGATTTTCATGGGTTACTGTCTGGATGAGAAGAATGGACGTGAGAAGTGGGGTGACTTTTCCATGCTACACAAGACTTGTTCCACACCATCTGAATTGGGGGATGGGAGTAGGATGGAAGCTGGTGACAGGGAGAAATTGGAAGACAGAGTAGGGGACAGACCAGGATGGGAAGTAAGAGTCTGAGTAGGTCTTCCAGGGTTGAGGGAGGAGCACATTTGCATTGTCGCAGAGACTAAAGGAAGGCTTGTGTATGGAGAAGGAAGTCAGAAGAGAGGGCTGTGTATGGGGTAGGTTTGTTAGAACAACCGTCAAAGACCAACTTTGTAAGAGACAGAAAGAACATCTGCAAATACAATGCTGTTCCTGCAACTTGTGCTGCTGGTGGTTCTCCTCCCAGGCAGTGACAGTGAAGGTGAGATCTGGCCCTACCCAGTGGGTGTAAGAGTGTGCGTGTGTGTGTGTGTTTCTCTGCCTTTTTGTGTGTGTGATGTGTGTCCCTGTGCCTGTGTGTCTGTTTGTATGTGTGCATATGTGTATATAGGTACATAGGAGTTTGTGTATTCATGTATAGGTGTGCATCTCTACGTGTGTCTATGTATGTGTACATGTGGGTATATGTCTGTCTGTGTTTGTTTATGTTTATATGTGTGTCTCTGTGTCTGTATGTCCATGTACATATGTATCTGTGTATGTTTGTTTGTATAAGAGTGTGTAAAGTTGTGTAAGTTTGTATGAGTTCATAAGTGTGTTTATGCATGAGCATATGTGACCACTTGTGGAATGAGTCCCCACAAATACCTGGGGAGGGAAAGTACCAGACTGGTTCCTTCCTGAGAGCATCCCTAATCCCAGGGCCGTGTGCTCTTCTGTAGGGTGGGTAGGAAACTTGGGGCTCTGGAGCACCACATGTCTCCTGGGACAACTATGGCTTCTCTGTCATCTAGATTTTCGTTCCCCTCCCTGGCACCTTCTCTATTCTCTCTCCTTCCCAATGCCCTCTCTTCCAAAGTCTATCTTTACTTTTGCCACAGATGTGCAGGAGCCAATTTCCTTCCAAATTACCCTGACTGTATCCTTTTACAACCGTTCCTGGACACAAAGTCTGGGTTCAGCTTGGCTGGATGAGATACAGACTCATGGCTGGGACAACAAGACTGGTGCTTTCATTTTCTTGTGGCCTTGGTCCAAAGGCAACTGGAGCCACATGGAGCTGATGAAATTGGAAAAGTTACTCTATGCATACTTCATTGGACTTTGTCAGGTGTTTCAAGACCATGTCAGACACTGGCAGCTTGAATGTGAGTTCAGTTCCCTCAGGGAAGGAGGGATGGAGGTGGCAGGTGTGTGTAGGTATCCTTGAGTTCCTTCTTCCTCTAGGAAAGAGCATCCACTGGCTTCTGAAACTCACAACTCCCCTATCATAAATCTGAATCACAACCTCTGGGCAGGGGGTAGAAGCCAGATCCTGATTCTTGAAAATATTCACATCTTTTGCTACTTCCCCCTTATCTCAGTGACCATAGGCTGTGCTCTCCTGTCTCTCACTAGTGTCTCCTGTGACCACCACTTTCCCTGGCCTTCAACCAGGCACACTTTGTTCTGTCACTCTGTGACTGACTCCTTGGGCTGTGCTTTTCTCCCTATTCAATCCCACCAGCAAATTATGTCTGTGTTTTCCCTGTACTGCACTGTACTCTCTTCATCCTAGACTGTTTTTATCTCCAGGTCTTCTACTGAGCCCTTCCCTGTTCTTTACCCACACCCTTCATGTATCTTCTCCAACATTTGTTCCTTTCTCAATCATTCACCACTTCCTCTGCATCTAGTGACCACCACTTCCCTTTTGTTTGATCCTCCCCTCAAACCAAACTGTGCTCCATTCCCTCCAATCCCCTGAACTTTCCCCTCTTCTTCAGGCCTCCATGGTTCCACTCATCTCATTTCATGTCCTTCACACCCCCTGTCCTGTAACTCACAAATTCCCTTCCCCAGATCCATTTCAGATACAGCTGGCAGAAGGCTGTGAGCTACACTTTGGGGAAGCATCAGTAGGATTTGTGAAGTTTGCTTATCAAGGGGTGGATCTCACGAGCTTCCAGAACATGACATGGTGGCCATCTCCAAAGGGAGGAAGTAGGGCTCAAGAGGTCTGCAAACTATTCAATCAGGACCATGTGATCAATGAAGAAATACACACACTTTTCAGTGATACCTGCCCCAAGTTCCTGTTGGGTCTTCTTGATGCAGGAAAGGCAGATCTCCAGCGGCAAGGTCAGTCTTGCTCCCTCCCTCCATGAATTCTCTACTCTGCACTCATACATTTGCACCATTCCCTCAAATTCAGGGTGAGAAGGAGCCAAGAGGGAGAGGGGAGGATGGTGACAGGTTTCTAGAGGTTTGAAATATGTCTATATAAAGTGATGTAAAGATCTATCCTCAGTCTGTGAATTCCTGCTCTGTGTCTGCAGTGAGACCAGAGGCCTGGCTGTCCACTGGCCCTAGTCCCAGTCCTGATCGTCTCTTGCTGGTGTGCCATGTCTCTGGGTTCTATCCAAAGCCTGTGTTGGTGATGTGGATGCGTGGTGAGCAGGAGCAACAGCGCACCCAGCAAAGTGAAGTCCTGCCCCATGCTGATGGGACATGGTATCTTCAGGTGTCCTTGGATGTGAAAACCAGGGAGGCAGCTGGCCTGTTGTGCCGGGTGAGGCACAGCAGTCTAGGAGGCCAAGACATGGTCCTCTACTGGGGTAAGAAAGAGCTGGGACCCACCTGGGAAAGGGGGAAGGTGGTGCTAAAACAGAGAAGGAGAGCCAGATGAAAAATTGGGGTTGCTGGGATTCCAGACAAAAAAATGACAAATCAGTAAGCCAAGGAATGGAGAACTAAGAGTAGAGGCTCTCTGGATGTGGGAGGAGGCATCTTGTTGGGTGAAGGCCCATCTCTGAGGCAGGATGGGAGAAGTGAAAGGAGGAAGGGCAGTTGGTAAGGTAGAGGGTGACAGGAGCAAAAAGGACCAGGGAGGTGCAGGTCAACCTGTGGTGGATAGGAAATGACATTCCTTGTGTGCCAAACCCATAGAGCAGCCCCACTCCAAGGGATTGGTTTTCCTGGCAGTGATGGTGCCCTTGGTGCTTCTGGCAGGTCTGACATTGTGGCTCTGGAAGGGCTGGTAAGTCTCTAGAGCCACCCTCCTGCTCTTTCCTAGGAGTCTCCCTACCTTTCAGGCTGTCCTCAGCCCTCCTGCTCCCAGTGGCCTTCCCCCGGGCAGTCCTCAGCTCCACCTGCTGCAGAATGACTCTTCCTCTGTTCCTCCCAGGAAAACACAGTGGAGACATCAGTGCACTGGCTTCTCCTTGGAGTGAAATCCTGACAGCCCCAGCTCCAGTACTTACCTAAACCCAACTCAGCCGTGATGTGCTTGCAACTCTCTGTGTGCAACTTTGTCTTTCATTTTTGCTTGATGATCAGTTGTCAATATAAGCTCAGTGTAATATACCAGGATTTGTTGTTGTGACCTGATTCTGGGATCTTAAAATTCAAAATTTAACTCTGTATGGAAAAAAGTCCCAGAACCTCCATGGGACATCGGACATGAAGTGTCATTTTCTTCAGAGTCTTCCCTGATTCACTTGTGGAAGCAGTCTCTGCCTAGTGGGAATTCTCACAACCTTTACTTGCACTTTGGCAAATCAATTTCTCAGCCCCACCCAATGTTGGCTCTAGCGAGGTGCCTTTTCTCCTTCTAATTCCTAGGCCCATTGAGATCAAAGTTCATATATTTTTTTTAACTATTAGTATCCTTGGTAAGGTGTCTCACCTGCATGGAATACATGCTTAATAAAAATGTGTGTTGAATTTTTGTCAAATTTATAGCTTGTCTTCTTTTCCTTCCTGAAATGTTTATGGTAGTTAAGATGTTTGGTGCTCTTCTTGTTAAAAATCTTCTCATTTGGCCAAGGGACTTCACACTCATAATGACTTGTGTCATTTCTGAGCCTCTGAGAAGAAACTCAGTTTTACCTGTAAGCATTCCAGTTATTTACTGCAGACCCTATTGGAGTGGACCTGGTGCTCCAAGTATTCTGAATAAAAAGAGGAAGGCAGGATGCTTGCTCTTTGTGAGGCTCAGGGACAGTGGCAGAGTTGTCGCCTTGGAGCTTGTTAGAAATATAGGGTCTTGGACTCAGCAGAGTTTCACTGAATCACAATTTGCATTTTTAGTAAAGTCAGCAAGGAATTCACAGATGCATAAAATGTGAGAGGCACTGATATAAATGATGTCTGAGAGGTAGCAGTGCAAGGGTGTCTCTGAACAGAAATGACACATTCCAGGAAAGAAAGCAGGAGTATTTTGCTCAGGGATGAATAGGGATCCAGCAGGAAGAGTGTGTACTGTGCCTCCTGGCATTCATGACTGCTGTGTTACCGTCATGAGGATATAGTCAGTGACAGTGAGCCATTGCTCCTGGGGGGAGATCTGGGGCTGGGTTCCTAGGAGCTTCTGCTTATAACATTTGGTGACTGATGAATACACAGCCTGGATTCATATGTGTTTCTGATTAAAAACAGCATATATATATATATGTAATTTCCAAATAATTATATGTATATAATTACATATATATATGTAATTTCCAAATAATTCACTGTGTGCCATATTCCCAATGCTGAAATATTAGCTCGGAAGGGTAATATTTTCCACATCATGTATTGTGATCACCAGTGTCTTTGGTTTTAGCCCCACAGCTGTGCTGCCCATGATGCTTCAAGAACCAAACAAGAAACAGTCATCATCTCATGAAGCCACAAATATAGATTCTTTCCCCCCCTTTTCTGTGGTATTATCTAAGTGTCTTAGATGTTATTTAGCACTCTCTGGTGTGGCTCCATATAGATGTCATGAATATTCTATTCCTTTTCTTGGATTTACTGCATTGGTAATTCATTACCTCTGACCTTATGGTCCACAGCTCTGCATTGGAAACCTGAGCAAGTCTTACCTACGTAAGTGTTTTGTCACGAGTCACATCCCACCTTCTTGTGCTTAGGAACCAGTCAATCCTGCAGCTCTGGGCTTCACAGCCTTTTTAAATGCTGAAATCACCAAGAAACATCATGTAGTTTAAGAAATGTGGCACCAGATGGACCATGAACAAGACGTGTTTACAGTGTGGGAATTAACATAGGAAGGCAGAGGGACATCTGGTCCAGTCTCACCAGGCAGCACATAAGGTGGATCATATTATTTCAGGCCTCTGTCCCTGCCTCTACAAATAGTGGTGAGTGCATGTGTCTGGGGGTTACACATTGACATTAGCAGGTAGGCCGATCGGCATAGACAGACTCCATGTATAATGAAGATGGACACTTCGTGACTGATGACCCCCGTAGCAGTGAGAGTGGAGAAATCCATGGCTAGATCTTAGTTACTCTCAGTTTCATTAATTAACTCAACAAACCATTTTCAAGCCCTGACCATGCAGCTGGGACATTTTGAATGTCAAGTAGTGGGGAGGAAAATGTCTCTATGTCTTCAGAACTTGAAAGTTTTATCTTTCTGATTTGTTTACCTTTTTCATTGTGTTTCTAGTTTCTTTGTATAGGAGCTTATGTGGGTTGATCCAGGGGAAAGGAACTTAGTTCTAATTTGTTTAGGGGCTGAGGGAGGAGACCAGGGGAGTGTGTACTGTGAAAAGACTGGAACTAGAGTGTGTACTAGAAAAGACTCAGCATAGCCAAAGTAATTTTGAAAAAGAAAAGCAAAGCTTGAGACATCATGATTCCGGAATTGAACATTCTCTCCAGAGAATGTTCAAAGGGACCACATGCATGGTCTCAGTCCTGTGCATGTAAATATTTCTGGAAAAAACTTTGAAATGGGAGACTTGGAAAAAGTGAAAATAAGGGAAAGGGAAGAGCAAATCATGGGGCTTTTGTGATCTTCCTGACTGGATCAGACTGCTTGGCTGGTTCTCTAACTTCTAGTCTACTTGTCACCCTCACAGGGCCACCATGTGGATTTTGACTGGTTGACTCCACCCTCGTGTAGCTCTGCACTCTGATCAGTCCGAGGCCATCAGGAGAAAGCATCCTTGACAATGAGATAGGCTGAAGGATAGACAGGCAACCTGCTGTTCAGGCCAATCAGATGCCACTAATCCTCACCCAGAGTGATGGTTCAGGGCCAGGTACCTGCTCCAGGTGACGCAGGTTCCACAAAGTCTGATTCTGTGGTGGGTGGAGGGGAAAGAGATGTTCTCTCTTTTCCTGGATGATAAAGGGTATAAAGGGATGATAAAGGGTATAAAGATGGAAACAACTACCATCCATTTTTCAGTACCAGAGAGGCAAGCCTGAAGATGAAATCGGCATGCAAGGAGGTAGAGAAATTGTATATGTGCAATTTGCTAAGAGCATAGATCCAAAGTGTTCTTGCCACAAGAAAGATAAAGCAAAGCAAAACAAAACAAAGAAAAAAAAAAGTAGAGGGTCAGGGAGGAGGAACTAATTTGGCAGAGTAGTAGGAAGACCCCAAGCTTGCCTCAACACTGGAACACAGTTAGGTAAATATCAAATCATTCCAAATACCCAAGATATCAATAGAAAAAAACTGCACAACTACAGAGAGACAAGAGGCCACATGATGGAAAGTAGGAGGTGGGGAGTCATGCTTTTGGGGAGATACAATTATGGGTTCTGTGGAGGGGACAGAGGCCTTGTCTCATACAGAGGAGGCAGAAAGAGTGAGAGAGAGTGTGGAGAACCCAGGGTATCACACAAGGAAAACACTTCCCCATAGCCACTGACTGGGAAAAGAAGAGGGGTTGATTTCTTTGTGAAATTTACAATCAGTGGGACTTAAAGACTAGAGTTCTGGAGGTCCAAACAATGGCCAATGTGGAACCCAGTGGGCACTGCTGTGCTCTTATGGAGAGGGAGGGCAGAAGTCTGGGGACAGACATGATCTGAGGATCTCCTGGGGCACATGGGATAAAGTGAGTCTCCTCCTATTTGGGTTCATCTGGAAGAGGTAGCAGCACCTCTCTGGAGCAAAAGAGCTGGCAGACACCATTACCCTGCCACACCCCAGAGCACTAACACTGGGACACTTGCTGCATGTGGCTAACTTAGATACTGGTTATTTGTTGCACTTTACTACAAACTCTATGCCCCTGTGCTTCAGTGTGACTGCCCTTCTGGGACAAACCTGCACCAGTCCCAGTGTTGTGAGACCCTCCCCACACAACCAGCATGGGCACCTGACATGCCAGGTTCCTAATGTTTGGAGGTTTAAAGCTCAGCAAGCCTGCCTGGGATAGAGAAGAGGGGCACTATGTTATTTGGTGGTCAGAAGGTCAGGGCACAGACAGGGTGAAGGCAGGGATCTGAGGGGCACCTGGAGCACACAAGGGGAGATTGTTTGCTCTTCTGGGAGGGCTTCCCTGAGAGTAGAAGCAAGGAATCCCTTCTCTATGCACAAGAGAGGGGGCTGGTGACATTTCCCTCCCCTGCCAATCAGTATTTTTCACAAAGGTGGAACAAACAAACCTAAAATCTGTATGGAACTAGAAAAGACTCAGCATAGCCAAAGTAATTTTGAAAAAGAAAAGCAAAGCTTGAGACATCATGATTCCGGAATTCAAGCTATATTACAAAGCTCTAGTCATCAGGGCAGTATGGTACTGGGTAGAGAAACAGACACATAAAACAGTAAAACAGAACAGAGAGCCCAGAAATGGACCCACAAGCCTCTGGTCAACTAGTCTTTGAGAAAGCAGGAAAGAGTATCCAATGGAAAAAAAAAATCTCTTCAACCGATGGTGTTGGGAAAACTGGACAGCAACATGCAAAAGAGTGAAATTGTATCACTTTCTTACACGATAGTCGAAATTAAATTCAAAACGGATGAAAGACCTAAATTTGAGACAGGAAACCATGAGAAGCCTGGAGGAGGACACAGGCATAACCTCTTTAATATGGGTTGTCGAAATTTCTTACTAGATGGGTCTCCTGAGGAAAGGGAAAGAATAGAAAAATAAACTATTGGGACTTCATCAAGGTAAACACCTTCTGCACAGCAAAATCAACAACCAACAAAACTAAAAGGCAACCTACAGAATGGAAGAAGATATTTGAAAAATGACATATCTGATAAAGGTTTACTATCCAAAATCTATAAAAAAACTTATCAAAATCAACACCCATAAAACTAATAATCTAGTTAGGAAATGAACAGAAGCTTCTGCACAGTAAAGGAAACAGTCAACAAAACAAAGAGGCAAGCCATGGAATGGGAGAAGATATTTGAAAATGACAGTACATACAAAGGGCTGATATCCAAGATCTGTAAAGAACTCAAACT